TAATTTGTAATACTGCTTTCCATTTTTTACCTTTATAGTAATCATGCGTAAGAAATAAGAGGTCACACTGATGTACACAATTTGGTTTTTGAATTTTACCATAACTAACCCGTGGAGTCTCTTTTGGTGATGGAGCATATTTTTGCCATTCATTGTGGTTATGCAACCATTCACGAACCTTTTTATATGGGAAATTATATCCTTCTTTTTTACATGCATCTCTTAATGCTTTTGCATTGGAGAAAAAACCAGTAGGTTGGTAAAAAAGCAATTTACAGATTAAGTTTAATTCCTCATCTGGATCGATTCTAATAATAGGCGTGCCCAATTTATGCGAAGCATGGTCTAAGGACCTACTCATTTCTATATAGTACAAATTATGTATAGCAAAGTCGGAAGATAAGTTAAGAGACAAAGTCTCCTTTCTATGAAAGATATATTATGCCGTAAAAATAGCTATGGCATTTCAAAGACCCTGACCTCCCAATCGAACAACTCATAGATCGGCTACAGATAAAGAACTCGAGCTAGAACAAATTAACCGAGAACTCCAGGAGATATTACAATCGGAGTTAGCCATCAACAAATCAAATGAGAAATATATAAAGGATCTGGAATGTAAATATACCAGGTGTCAGAATGAAATCCAATCTCTCAATAAAGAACTGGAACAGCTCGAGAATGCTTCGGAGGAAGAAAAGGCAGAGTTGAGAGCAGAAATCTCCAACCTTAATAAACAGCTCTCATATAACAAAAAAGAAATCCGAGATAAGATATCCTATATTGATAATATAGAGAGGCAGTTACAAGAATCAGAAGAGCGGGTTCAAAATCTAAGGCATAGATTCAAAGTTATTTCTTCTCGAAGAAGCTCTCCAAGTTTATGTAATTCAAAAGAGGAAGTTACAGATATGGCACATATAGATCCCTTTATAGATATCACTAGAGGATTAAATCGACTTGAAAACCATTTCACAGGGGGTACACCATTAAATAATCCTGCCAATATCATCCAAGGTATGTATGGTACTTTAAATACTATTCGGGCTAATTATCAAAGAATAGACCAGGATTTAGATGATGTCACAAATCAACGAGATGCTCGAGATGCTCAAATAGTACAATTACAGCAAGATGTCAATTATTTTAGACAGCAAAATAA